TGTGGGTTTGGCTATAAGGTTGTGTAATAAAAGTATGATAATTAAATAGATTAATTAAAAAAACAAAAAAAACCAACATAAAGCAAAAAAATAATGAAAAAAAAGAAAAAAATTTAAATTAATTGGATTAAACCTTCAAATCAGGTTAACCTGTAAAACCTGGGATTCGCGTCATGAAAGTTTGATAACTAAATAAAAAAAATTAACGGGTTTACCCAAAATTAACTGAGTTAACTCATTAAACCAAGCTAACCAGTCAAGCCCAGAATAGATGTCATGAAAGTCTGATAATTAAATAGAAAAAAATTTAACATCAACAAACCAAACTAAAAAAAAATTAATTAAAAAGAAAAAAAAATATGAGTTAACTTGTCAAATCAAGTTAACCCATTAAACCCGAGATTTATATCATGAAAATTTGATAACAAAATAAAAAAAAAATTAACATTAACAAACTAAATCAAACAAAAATAATTCATTAAAAAACAAGAAAAAAGAAGAAGGAAAAGACAGTTCTATAATATAATACAATATAATAATAATATAATATATTAATAAATAAAAGGCGCGGGGAAGTTGTAATGCTTTCTCCACACTATTTAAAGTATCACTTAAGTCATGTTTGTTTCTTGAAAAGTGGTTTTCAGGAAATTACTTTCCCAACTTTCCTATGGTTATTTGTCATTAGAAAGGTTGGTCAATAGAAAACATTTTCCAATTAAAGGAAAATTTAGCTTTGTTTCCAAGAAAGTATTTTTCTGAAAAATTTAGGCGAAAAACACTTCCTGAAAGTTGTGAGAAATTTAGAAATGTCATTTTATTTATCGATTATATCAAATTTGATCATGAAACTTTTAATTGCCATGTATATTTTGTTTTTAATATTTATTTTTTAATTTTATCTCTTAAAATTTAATTTTTATATTAACTTTGATTCTCCATTTTATAATTGTTATTTTTTTCCTTATCATTTTTTATTGAAATTTTTTATCTATCAAATTTGATCCTTGGTCTTTTGAATGTTACTTATTTTATTTGAGATAATTTATAAAATGGCAACTATTATTATTTTAGTTTCTTCATCTTTTTATTTTTTTTATTTTTTAGATTTGATTATTATTTATTTTATTTAAGATAATTTATGAATTATATATATATTTTAATTTTATTCTCATTCAACCTTTTAATTTATAAGTTTTGATCCTCGTTATTTTAATAAACTCAAAAAAAATAAAATATTAATAAGTTATTTTCCAATTTATTTTTCATAACATAACCAAACATTCGAAAGTATTTTCCAACTTATTTTTCATTATACTATTAAATATCATAAAATAATTTATTTTTTTAGAATTTATTTTTCTTAAATTTATTTTTTATAAAAAAATATTTTTCTGTAAACAAACAAGATTTTAACGAGGAGAAACATAATAAATTTACTTTTTTTTTCCAGAAAAACTATAGAGTTTAAACTCAATCCTGCAAGCTCTATTTGATCCATTCCTCGGACTGAATAGAAACATTATCATGGTGATTTAGGTAAATCCCCATAAAAGTCAAGCTTTGAGATAATGTTTTCTTTTCATCATGTTGGTTCAGGTAAATCCCCATAGAGTCGAGTTTTGGGTGGCCTTAATTCCCCACTAGTGACTGTCAATTTAAAACAACTAAAAAAATATACGAATAAGGTGAGAAATGGGGTAGACATGCATCAACTATGGAAGGCCATCGTTAAAAGCATACAACATCCAATAAAATCCACGCCAGCAAGTCCTTCTGAATTAAAGTATGGTTGATATTAATATCAATAGTTATAATTTAATTCGTTAAGTTTTAGATTTATTTTTTAAAGATTATGAATTCGAATCTCATAAATATTAAAGTTATTAAAAATTTATATGATCATTAATTTCATATAAAATTAATTAAGATGTGTACAAACTGACTAGGATATCTAATAAAAAAAAATAAAGTTGATGTTATTTTTTAAAATATTTTTTATTTAAAAATATATTAAAATAATATTTTTTAAAAATAAAATTACTTTTAACATAGCATATAAAAATAATCTAAATATAAAAAACTAATTTAAAACTAAAAGTAAAATTTAAAGTATTTTAAAAATATAATAAGATCACAATGTAAAACAAATATTCATCCTCATTGCATGGTGATCCACGAAAATGTGAACACCCGTTGTAATCATAAGATCTACTCAAGTCGTAGCCTAAACACTTTTTCAACACATCAATAAAATACATATATTCACAAGCCAACATGTATCTCGTGCTTTATCTAGATAGATCTTGCTTAATTCTATCAAGTTTAATAATATTTGATGGTAAATAATGAAAGCTGATTATACAATTTTTTTATAATTTTTATAATTAATTCTATATCAATTTTAGTTTCAAAATGTTCTGTAAAAAAAAGCTAAAAGAATAGTTTTTTAATTAGTTTTTTTTGAAGGTTTTGCATAATTTTTGTTACTATTCTTCACTCTAGTTTTTCAGTTTACTTTTCTCAATTTTAAACTTTGTTTTTTCTTTTTATTTTTTTCTACTTTGGAGCTTAAGTTAGGTTTTTATAAAAAAATAATTGAATCAAATTTTCTTGAGTTCCCTAACCTTGTTTGGAAATATATTTAAATAAAATGATATTGTTGAAATTATACAAGACTAATTGCATAATTTCTATTTGCATCAAGTGGGGTGCAATGAAGTTTGAGGATAAATAATCAACGATCGACAATAATCTATATTCAACTCAATAAGAATCTAATTGCTTCAACAATTAAATATTTTATATTATTTGTAGTTCAGGTTTAATATTATATTACATGACTAGCATGTATGTTGGTATTTTTATTTGATATCAATTGTAAGTTTACTTTGAATAATATAAATTGTATACGTATAAACTAGACATCTTTGAACATTAGGCTAGTTTTGGATAACAAACTCAATATTTTAATCTTTGTTTAGTTTATATATCTTGTTTTATAACTTATAGTTTAATTTTGGAGGGTTGTTAGATGTTTTTGTTTTAAAGTTAACAGTGTAACGGTTGTATGTTCATGCAATTCATTTATTTTTATCTAGAATTATAATAATATAGTGTATTTTAAAAGAACACTATATTGAACTCCAACAAAAGCTTTTTATTGTGAAACAACAACTTAATTAAAATAAATTATAAATAAATGATAAATTGATTTCAAAATAAACCTCAATTGACATAAAGAGCATCCAAATTTTTAAAATAGAAAGGACTTAAACAAAATAGGTTCTATAACATGTATTATTATTTTATTACAATAATTAAGATTGATAATAATAAAAATTAATTCTGATAATTATCATAACTAATTTTATATTAATTTTAGTTCTAAAGCATTATATAAAAAGAGGTGGAAGGAAACTAGCTTTATATTAGATTTAGTTTTAAGCTCTATTTTCCTTCTATTTTTCTTTCTATTCTAGAGTTTCAGTTTAATTTTTGAAAAAAAATATTTAAATCAAATTATTTTAAGTTCTTAAAACTTATTTAGAAATATATTTAAATAATATAGCGGTCTTAAGAAGATGATTGCATGCATCTTGCTAAAATGAGAGAAATAAAACCTTAAAAATAAAAAAATTGATCTTTAAAAACAATTTATATTCAACTTAATTAGAGTCTTAATGTTTTAATAAGTAAATTCTTTACATTATTTTAATTTTGGTTTAATATATTACATTATTAATATGCATATTAGGATTATATTTAATTTTTTTATTTCTTATTATGCATGTTAGTTTTTTTTATTTGATATCAATTATAAGTTCACTTTGAAAATATAAATTCTATCATGCACGCTAGTTTTTTTTATATGCTTGCTAAACATCTTTAAACACCAATTTAGTCTTGAATAACATGAATTGTACTGATTACTTAAAGATTATCATGGTTATAATGACAAGTGTCAACTAATTTGATTGTTTAAAATTAACCGTCAGTATCATTGCCTTTCAATTATATATAACCAAATCTAACTAAGCTGAGACGTTTAGAAAATCTATCTAGGAACAATACCATCGAGTGTGATAACTGAATATGAAAATGAAGAGAGCTGAGAAATTATCAACGCCGAAACCCAAAGTGAAATATCCATTTTGCCATTTCCAAAACAAATAATGCACTGTCCAATAAGGGGTAAAATAGACATTACATTTGTCGTCGCCATATTTATTAGGATTAGGACAATCTTTTAACTTTTCTTGGAACAGGACAACTAAAATGGCTTCTTTTATTAAAAAAACAGAAAAACATTCAGATACTCCTTTTACTTACTTAAAAAAGATTATCCAGCCCGCTGCAAAAAAGCGGGTAAAATAGCTACTGTAATTATACGAGGTGTGCAATATTGCAAAATTGCCATTTACCAACCAAAAAGAACAGGAGGGAAGACGGAAGGGGCTGCCGTGGCCGTGAGGTCTGAGGTCTGAAAGTATGGGCTGCTGCGAGGTCTAACTTTCAATAGTGAAGACAGTACCAGACAATTTGTTTTTCAAAAATACACGTGAAAGTCACAACAGTTATTGCGTAAGGAACATTCCAAACTGGGCATCCTTCACGTCTCAATAAAAAAGGACATCTACACAATAAAAACGTTTCTTTATTCTTTTTAGATTAAGGAAGAGGGGGATCTGTTGTTTTCGCAATAAAAATGCCACATGTCGTCCGACAAAAAAAAGTAGTTACATGTCTTCAAATTTTGACACCGTTAAAAAAACATGCACCTGCCCTTGTAACGTGATAAATAAATAATAAATCGAGTGAAAGTAAAAATAAATAAAGTTAAAGTAAAAATAAATCCAAAATCAAAATTCAGATGCTAGCTTTGCATACAGATAGCAAAATGGAAATTGAAAAGAGAAAAAGGCCGTCGATATTTTCTTTTAAGTTTTAACCGCTGACTTACCGCAATCCCTCACCGGGCTCCCAAGCCTCTCTCTCTCTCCCTCTCCCCTTCGATTCTGGCGTACTAATATATTCCCTGTCTCGTCCTCCTCTCTAAATTATTTAATTAATTAATAAAATAAACAAACACTCAAAAATCTTGCTCTTTATAAATAAAAATCCTCTTCGTTGAAATCTCGTCATTGTCTCTCTCTTTCCTCTGTTCTTTTCCTGCTGACTTTTGAGTTTAAAAAATGGCTGAATCGGTCGAGTTACCGAGTCGATTAGCGATCCTTCCGTTTAGAAACAAGGTGCTTTTACCTGGCGCCATTATTCGCATTCGCTGCACTTCGCCCAGCAGGTAATCCTTTTTTTGTTTTTTCATTTAACTCTCTCTTGCCCCATGTTTTACTTTTTTTTTTTTCCATAAATCTGAATATTTTGTTATTTGTTTTTGGTTGAGATGTTTGATCATGAATTTACAAATAACTGCATGATTATTTATTTATATCTTTATAAATTGACTATTTGCGAATTGTTTCGATGAATTCCAGTGTACAACTGGTGGAGCAAGAACTGTGGCAGAGAGAAGAGAAGGGTTTGATTGGGATTTTGCCTGTTAGAGATGCTGCTGCTGCTACGACGGAGACGGCATCTGTGGGCCCTACTTTATCCGACGACAAAACTCGTGATTCTCGTGTCCCCCCCCCCCTTTTCTGCAGCGTTGATTTTTTTTTTTTCGAATCGTATGTTTGACTAAATAGAATGGAAATATGGTTGTTTAGGTGCTGAAAGTGATACCAGTGAGAAAAGCTCTAAAACTCCAGCTAGTACATCCTCGGATAATGTCAAGCCTGATGGGAAACACCAGCAAGAAGTTTTTCACTGGCATAACAGGTTAATATATTAATTCACATTCAAGTTTATTATTTTTGCTGTTTTTAAATTTTAAATTGAAGTTCTGATGGATAATGATTGGTGGGTTCCTTTAGGGGAGTCGCAGCTCGTGCTTTGCATCTGTCTAGAGGAGTGGAGAAACCTAGTGGGAGGGTGACATACATAGTTGTTCTTGAAGGTCTGTGCAGATTCAATCTTCATGAACTTAGCACGAGAGGGGCATATTATACTGCGCGGATATCTCCGCTTGAAATGACAAAGGCTGGTAAGTTTTGAATTAAATTATTTGCTTCGTACATGCATTGATGCTGAATCATTTAGCAGTAATGCGTTCTATATTGCGTTGTTGATCAGTATGCTGAACCATTTCCACTCTTTAATATTTTATTAGAGCTGGAGCAAGTGGATCAAGATCCTGGTTTTGTAGCCCTGTCTCACCACTTCAAAGCAACTGCAATGGAACTCATTTCTATTCTTGAGCAGGTAGTTTTTCTGTTGTAATTTTTAGGATTAAAAATATGAAAATGCTCCACCTTTATTTGTATGTGAACCTTGTCATGGTAAGTAAGATATGCTCATCAACGAACTAATTGTTAAATTTGTATGCCTGTCATTCAAGAATGTTGATTCTTATATTACTAGAAAAGAATTAGCTTCTTCATATTGCTTTTCGTCTTATTTTGTTGATGTTCTGTAAATTGTTGTTTCATTCCTGCTCTTAGAAGCAAAAAACTGGTGGGAGAACAAAAGTCCTTTTGGAGACTGTTCCTGTTCACAAATTAGCAGACATATTTGTTGCTAGCTTTGAGATAAGTTTTGAAGAGCAGCTATCTATGTTGGATTCTGTTGATCTGAAGGCAAGGCTGTCAAAAGCTAATGAGCTGGTTGACCGACATTTACAGGTAATCTGTTCATCCTCTGATAGCTAATATCTGATGCATTTACATGAAGTGAACTTGATTATTCCTCTGGTCTTTATGGACTCTTGCATTAACATTTATTTGTGGACAGTCAATACGTGTGGCAGAGAAGATCACACAAAAGGTTGAAGGACAATTGTCAAAATCACAGAAAGAGTTTCTTCTGCGTCAGCAGGTATGCCTTTTTCTTAGCTAGTATATGTAGATACTTCAGCATATTTGAAGCATCTATTATGGAAATGAGAGCCCAGTTTTCTGGTTTCAGTCATGCAATTTAAATGTTTTTAGACATAAGCTATTTTAGATGCAAGTTATGTTTTAACCAATTGGTAGGATATTTTTGGAGGATTCATGCTACTATCAGTGATAAACAATTTTTTCTCTCCGGAGGATGGAAGTTCAAACAATCTATAAGTCCTGTCATAAGGCTTTAATTTAAAGATAGAAGTTGAAGTGCTGCATTTTATTTTCACCTTTTAAGTTCATTATCCAATGGAGCAATTTTAGCAGTATTGGGGGAAGAGGGAGAGAGGGTTATGATAATATAGTTTTTACACTTATCAGACTCCCCAGAATTATTTTGTGAGTGATGGGGCCTGAAAGGCGCCTTAATTGAAGGCTATTAGATTGATGTTGGCTGGTTTACTTAGCCATCAGATCTGGAACTATTCATCTTAGCTTTTTTTTTTTTTTTGTAATATATATATGGTTATGGCTATAGATTATGATGCAAAGTGCTATCAGATTGATAAAAGTGCGGCTGCTGACCCATTAGTAAATTGTTTACTTATATATTATAGAACATTCTTTTCTAAATCTTTACTAGATATTATAATAATTATAAGAACATTTTTTTCTAAATCTTTGCTTGATATTACAATTATTATAATTTTTGGGCTTATCCATTTGATACATATTCTAGATGAGGGCTATAAAAGAGGAGCTTGGTGACAATGATGATGATGAGGATGATGTGGCTGCCATAGAAAGGAAGATGCAAAGTGCAGGGATGCCTTCAAATATCTGGAAGCATGCCCAAAAGGAGTTGAGGTATGTGTTTTTGGATAAGATAGAACAGATGATCACAATCTTTTGATAGCTGAATTTAGAGTGGCAATAAAAGTAGTTGATTCTTATCCAGTCAAGGATTTTACTAAAACTACATGTTGATGCAGCATTAAAATATTGTTATTTTGGGAAGTTTACATGAAGAAATGCCATAACTTGTGTAGATGACTTTATTCCAAATTCCCTACAGTCCTAGAAAACTCTTATGAAGACTTGATGGTGTTAGAAATTGTAAATGTCAACATTTAGATCTGAGAAGACATCTGATTTACAAACATTCCATTGCATTTAGTGTTGTGCAAACCCTGACACTGGAGAAGCTTGTATCCTTCCTCTCAATTTATACTTGCATCAATATTTGTTGATGCTGATTGGATGACCCAAGTTTTTTAGGGTTATCCATACATAGAGACTAGGTGGATCACTGTTGCATACCCATTAGGCTGCTGCATTTCTAATATCTCAGTGGGATGTCATAGAGCCAAAAGAGGTTCTTATCCTAATTTAAGGTGAGAATTATCTTCAATGGGTTACCTGCAATCGCTAATTCTCATGGTTTCTGTGTTTTACCTTGTTTCCTCTAGAAAAATTTAGACTTAATTTGAATTGAAGTCTCTTGCTCAGAAATGTTCTAATCCAAGACCATAATTTCATATTCTCCTGCCTTGGGTTTTCTGTTCATTTCTACTATACCTGCACTTTTTTTTCCATTTCAGGAGGCTTAAGAAGATGCAACCTCAGCAACCTGGTTATAATAGTTCACATGTTTACTTGGAGCTTCTTGCTGATCTGCCCTGGCAGACGGGAAGTGAACAACTTGAATTGGATCTAAAAGCTGCAAAAGAACGTCTTGATAATGACCACTATGGTCTGATCAAGATCAAGCAACGTATTATTGAATATCTAGCTGTTCGCAAGGTTGACCTATTTTCAAGTGTTGTTTCCTTGCATGAATTTTTAAAATTTTGAATTTCAATTAGATTTTTGTTGGATTCATTTGTTCCACTACAGCTTAAACCAGATGCAAGAGGCCCAGTGTTATGTTTTGTTGGTCCACCAGGTGTTGGAAAAACATCTCTGGCTTCGTCTATTGCTGCTGCCCTGGGCAGAAAATTTGTCCGTATATCACTTGGTGGCATTAAGGACGAGGCTGACATTAGAGGGCACAGGAGAACATACATTGGAAGCATGCCAGGGCGTCTCATAGATGGGATAAAGGTAGAAAGTACTGTGACGGATTATATCTTTGCAATTTTTGCTCTTTCTTGTCAATATCTTTGTTGGTACACAAGCCTCTGGAAGGTATTTCAATTAGGACAGGAATTTCTATATGGGGTAGCTGGAAGTTTTCTATTATGCTTGTGCATCAGCTTTTAATACCTGAGTATTATCCACATATGTAACTCACACAAACTAGATTCCTATTAGTCCCTATCATTATATGACTGAAATCACACTTAAAAATTTGCCTCTGTAATTCTAGAGGAGAAGCAGTGATGCTTTAATTGCAATCAAAGTGTTCCATGAAACCTGTTAGTTCTCTTGAGAGCTCAATAAACAACATATGGACAGATTAAATTCTGTCACAAGTGCACTGAAATCTAAAAGTTCATTCTTTTAGATTTGTCAGATTAGTGGGAGATTATTGTCCTTTCTGCAATGATGGACTACATTTTCAGAGGAAATGGAACACAATTTCCAATTGGTCATTATTTTATGCCAATAGATGTCTTTGTAGAAGGGAAAAAACCATGATTTCTTTGATCAGTAATGCAGTTATCGGCCCAGTTCATACTCCCTGATTTGTGCCAAGCATGCGATGCCAATGGGTTTTAATGAACAAATGATCTGAACTGAAGAAGGCTCACCCAGTTTTCAAGCTCATCCATGGGATTCTGCTTCAATTTATGTACTTTATGTCCTTAGTTCTGGAACTATGTAGATTTGCATAATTTGAGCTTTCTCCTTTCTTGCTTCTTTTGATTTGAGTTATTTTTTTGTCTGGATAATACAGCATGCTCATAATTGGAACCTTCTGTATTCATGCTTACCTTTCTAGTCTAAAACTTGGGTGTAAATTAGACTGGAATTGGATAATTAAGTTCTGTACCATCCTGCAATTGATTTGTTTGTTGTGTAAGAGTTGAATTTTGAAGCCAAGAGCCAACTTCCTCTCTGGAGAAAAAGGAAGATCATGTGACCAAGTTTGTGATATGTTTCTTTTTCTGGTCTTTTGGCTTTAGAGAGTGGGTGTTTGCAATCCTGTGATGCTACTGGATGAGATTGACAAGACAGGTTCTGATGTGCGCGGGGATCCAGCTTCAGCTCTGCTGGAGGTTCTTGATCCTGAACAGAATAAAACATTCAATGATCAGTATCCTTTTATTTTTGCTGCAGGATGTCTTTCACTGAATCTTAGTTTGGTCTCACTGGACACACATTTGCATCACTAATGATTAATTCCAGATACATTTGGTTTTTTCATTACTATTGTTAAAGATCCAAATTCTATTTGTTTTTCTTTCAATAGGACCAGGATCTATTTGAAGGCAAGAAGTTCATATGGAGAAGGTTTTGAAATTTAGAGCTGATTTGATGCCATTAAATCTGAACTCTGATTAAAATAACATCTCCCTCATGATAAGTATGCCAGAATGATGCTTCCTTAACTTAAGGTCTGTAGCTATCTGAATGTTCCATTTGACCTGTCAAAGGTGATTTTTGTGGCAACTGCAAATAAGATGCAGCCTATTCCTCCACCTCTTTTAGACAGGATGGAGGTCATTGAGCTGCCTGGATACACTCCTGAAGAAAAGCTTAGAATAGCGATGCAGTATTTGATTCCAAGAGTTTTGGATCAGCATGGGTTGAGCTCTGAGTTCCTTCAAATTCCAGAGGTAGAGGATTTGCTAGGGCTGTTTTTATCATTTATAAACTTCATGCTCAAGGATATCATTGCCCTTCACAATTGCAAATTGTGCTTGCTTGTGAGATTAAATTTAGTGTTTTCTTATTCTCATAGAAGTCCACCATTAAGCATTTCATATTGGTGTGAACATCTTTTAGTTGGAGGTCATCTATGGAAGTAGTACTATTTATACTTGATGAATACTTTTTGTTGAAAGTTGTCAGCCAGTGATTTCATTAGTCATCAAATGCGTGTAATGGTGTGGTCATTTATTATCTATCATAGGATACCATCCCTGTATGTTCAAATCCTGGTTGTTGAGACTTCAATTTTTCAGATATTGAATTGTGATAATATTCATGTCTGGTCAGATCATCAAGGTATCTGTATATTCCATTGAAATATTTTCAAAGGGAAGGGTAGATACAGTAATGGCATGATATTTTCTGAATCATCCAATCATCGCATTTCTTTCTTTCTAAATGCTTTGTCCAATTGTTGTGTTGTTTTTTCTGAAGTGGTTCATTCAATATTTGACTTATGGATGCTATGGTAAGTGTAATAAGAATGAAGTGTTTGAGTGGTAGAGGGAGAGGCAGACAAAAATTGACATAGTTTGAATTGTTAAAAAACAGATTTAGAATCATGACAATTTTCTGAAAGTTTCTCATAACCAATATTAATGGGGAAGGAGATCCATGTAATTACTCCATCTAGCTTGGGATGGAGACGAGTTGAATTCACCATGACCATCTGTTTAACATAATATCTTTGAAATTTTGCAGTCTCACATATGATGATCTGATTACTTCTTTCCAAACTAAGATGAATCCATGTCTTTATGTCTTCCTGCTTTGGAATTATAAAGAAAATGAGAAACAAAAGGAAAGGACTCAGTGAGATTACTGCAGATTCTGTAACAAGCTGCACATGTTGTAAGGGAATATATGTCCTGAAAGCCTTCCCAATATTGCAGGCTATGGTGGAATTTGTCATTCAGAGATACACAAGGGAGGCAGGTGTACGAAATCTGGAGAGAAACTTGGCTGCCTTGGCTCGTGCTGCAGCTGTAAGAGTTGCAGAGCAAGAACAAACTGTACCATTGAGCAAAGATATGCACCGGCTTGCTTCACCATTGTTGGAGAACAGACTTTCTGAGGGAGCAGAAGTGGAAATGGAAGTTATACCAATGAACGAAAACAATCATGAGATATCAAACACATTCAGTATTGCCTCACCTTTGGTTGTGGATGAACCTATGCTGGAGAAAGTACTGGGGGTAATGATTTTTCTCATCATTTCTTGATTTTCAACAGGATGCTTTTATGTTTAGATGCTTCTAATTTTATATGCATCAGTCAAGTTTATTTTAATAGGTTTGTGCTTTGTTATATTCATCTGCTTAGCAATTAGATTTAGTTGGTTTACTATTGTACATAAGGGTGTTAATCTTGTGTTGCTGGAACCTGATTGTGAAAATTTTCTTTATATTGAAGCACTTGCATGACAGGCTCACTTGGATGATCTTATTAAAATTGATGACATTTGGTTATGCTTTAATGGTTCCCTTTTCCAAATTGAGAATACTGAGTAGGATTGTGGTTTGGCTATTTCAAATTTCTTTGATAGAATTGGTATGTGCCAAAAGCCAAGCATGATAACTGCACTGCTGGCATCTTGGTTTTTGTCTTGGCATTCATGGAGGAAGTTAAATTGCTCAACCTTCCGTTTTGTTTGTTGGAGTTTGGATTATAGCATGCTAAAACATTTTTTATGTTGACTAAATACTGTGGTTTGTCCATTTACATCATGTAGCATGTGAGATTGTAATTTTGACCACATCTGAGAATCTTTTTCTGTGATTCAGCCTCCACGGTTTGATGACAGAGAAGCAGCAGAGCGTGTTGCAACCCCAGGTATTTCAGTTGGGCTTGTCTGGACTGCCTTTGGTGGAGAGGTTCAGTTTGTGGAGGCTACATCAATGGTTGGAAAGGGTGAATTACTTCTCACTGGACAACTTGGTGATGTAATTAAAGAATCAGCACAAATAGCACTGACATGGGTAATTCAAATTTTTCCCGATCTTTAGTTCATTCCTTGTACAATTATGAAATGAATAATTATCACTATTGAGGAAGACCATGCTTTAAACTGGTTTTAAACTGCTTATGTAATGTTTATTTGCCCTATATTGAAGAGTGCAGCACCTTCCACTGTTTGAAATGTATGATTGGATATAAAATCACAAAAAATAAGCTGTTATGCAGAATATAATCCTGTTTTATACTCAGAAAATTTCATTCAGAGATACTTAATCTGAGTCTTCTATGATGTAGGTACGAGCAAGGGCAACTAATCTTAAGTTGGCAGCTGCTGACGAAACCGATCTCCTTGAGGGTCGAGATGTTCATATACATTTCCCTGCTGGTGCTGTACCTAAGGATGGGCCCTCAGCTGGTGTGACATTGGTAACAGCTCTGGTTTCACTGTTTAGTCAGAAAAGAGCAAGAGCAGATACAGCTATGACTGGGGAGATGACTTTGAGGGGCCTTGTGCTTCCTGTTGGCGGTGTCAAGGATAAGGTATAGCCATTTGATTAGCTAGTCTTGTTAGTTTTATCCACTAAAAAAGAGTATCTTAACTGTGAAGTGGTATGATAGAGCAGTTGGTTTCACCTCTAGCACTTCTCTTCTTTCTTTCTTTCTTTCCCTTTTCTTTTCAAGTTGAGCCATATGCCACAACAATGACATTTTGACATTTTGTTTTTTCCATTTAGAGCTTAATAAATGGATTTCTTGTACCAAATTACTGTGTTTGTTGGAAATGTTAACGTTTTATAGTTGTACCTGGTCTTATGTGTTCTTGCTGAAAATGTAAACACATTCTCTGTTATTGTGTTTTCATATGCAACATATTTGTGCCGGATCAGATTGGTGACTACCAATTTAGGCTTCAGTTTTAAGCTTGATATTCTTCCAAGCATTGGCAAATAATGGTTTCTTCCATTAAAATTATTAGGATCATCCAAACTTTTCTGTATTACTTGACAACTGCCTGGCTAAGCAGTTGGGAATGCCAATTGGTAGGCTCTAGCAAATTCAGTAACATTTCTTACGAGAATCAAATCTTCTTGTAAAATGGAGTTTGTGATAAGTGATGTAGCTTTCTGGGGATGTTGCTAGTATCTTGTGCTCGTTTTTTCATATATGCATATCTAATTTGATAGATTGTAGTTTTGCATGTATGTTTTTGTGGTCAATATGATGGTTATGGCTTACTTGATTAATGTACCATTTGTTTAAAAAATGGACCATAGTCATTAGTTTGGGGAAACACCATCTCTTAGCCATGAACTTTATCAATGTAGGTGCCCAGCTTTGCCCATGTGTAGTATGCATATATCAAAGGTGCAGTTTCTTAGATTGTTCTCTTTTGCAGATATTGGCGGCACACCGCAATGGCATCAAGAGAGTAATTCTGCCAGAGAAAAATTTAAAGGATTTGGTTGAAGTACCCGCTGCTGTGCTTGGCAGTCTCGAGGTAATTTTATCTGTTTGAAGCATAACGAGTCTTTTTTATCAGTACATGTTAAACATAGATTAACTAGTCTACTATGGAACCACAGTGCCAATTCCTCTTTTAGATTCTAATACTGATTCTAGAATCCCCTTGCCTTTTTAATTCATTTACCTCACATTTCTGGTCATGTTAAAAGGATTCTGGATGGCAAATATATTCTATTTGATTCATTTGTGAATTCGTTGGTAGCGTGGACATTTTCCCCTTCAATGGACTGTTTGAGATTAGTACAGGTCAATTGCCAGAATCTCTCACATTGAGGAATCTTTTTATTTTAGATTTCTCAACCATACGAAACTTAAGCATGGTAGTCAGATGGTAAACATTTCTTGTGATGATGCTTGCCTCACCTGTGTGCATCCCACTCTCATTTTGACAGATTTTACTGGCTAAGCGAATGGAAGACGTGCTGGAGCAAGCTTTTGAAGGTGGCTGCCCTTGGAAACAACACTCAAAATTATGACAGAACCCCCTAGGACCATATCTAACCAATCCCTGTTGACATGGTATTTGGCATGTCCCATGTAAATTGGCAGACAACAGATTTCGCCTTCATTCTGCTGCCGCCTTCAGCAATAGGAGATCAAAAGAAGTGACATTCAGTTATACTGGCCACTGGTCAAACAAGGAATGGCAAGTTCTACCGCTTGGACCTTAACATTCATAATCTTTGAAAAGTTACCCATGAATCCACCCCCCTCCCCTCTCATGCGTCATGCGGTGGCTGTATTTATAGCAGGTGGCTTGGGTAAGCCACCGCATCCCTATTGTTTCGGCACCCCTTCCCCTTCTCATCCTTTTATGTGATTATAGATTAGTGTATGTATAAGTTATTTATTTAACGGAGCTAGGCAATGCCTGCCATTCAGTTAAATGGGACACTGATTGGAAGTTGTGTAAATTTGTTCTGAATGTCGAGGCTTGTCTTGACAGGTTATTTTACACGGTTCCTGATTATACCAGCAGCCGCTTCATAGTGTATGGCTTGTCTATATGTGGACGACCATATACATATAATTTGAAGGCCTAGTGAGAATTGTTGGAAGCTTAAGCTTGAAGTATCAGGCAGTATCAGGCTCTCTGCCAATTGATTGTTACATCAAAGGATTACTGATTTAGTCGCGATGCAGCACAGTTGCAGCAACAATACTAAAATCAAATGATAGAGTCGCACTCCTTGATGTAACTTCCTTTCTGATCTGTCTGTTCACATGTAATACAAGGCAGATCCGCTGTATGATTTCACCAATACTCAAGGTGTAAACTAAAATTGTGTTGTTATGGGTAGCTATCTCATTAATCTTATGACTTAATACTAGGATTTCTGGTGTGTCGTAGCAACGGCGGGGCATTTGAAAATGTGATGATAATTTATTTTTTTAAATGTTTTTATTTCGAAAAAAAATAATATTTTTTTTATCTTCATCTTTATTTTTTATATTAATATATTAAAATGATATAAAAAAATTAAATTGAAGTAAAGAAAAAATTATAAAAAATATTTTTTTAAAAGTGTTCTTATAATGAAAAAATTAATAGGTTTCTGGAAGTCACAGCGTTATCCATCAACTATCTCAATTTTTTTGAGCAACGTCAATAAATAAAGAGCTTTGAGCAGATTTAAGATGTTCGACAGATTGCAAGGGCATGCACGATGCAGTAAACCATCTTTTGAAGAACAACGAACCAAATCTTTCTAATTCTTTGTGCTAGTTTGGAAGCATACAGTTCCGTCTCACTGCTCATTAATTAAAAATCAGGCAAGGGTCCTGGATTCAAAACAGAGTCACCCTGATAGTCCCGCTGTATACTCAACAAGCTCAATTCACCAGAGCACTTCCATTTTCGTGTCATCAAACAACTTGTGAAAAACAGACTTATCGTTGACTTTTTTTTTTGGTTTTTTTTTATCGTTGGTTTTTCTTAATAATATTATTAAATTAGTCAAAACTATTGAATTTATTTGAATTAATGACACAAATCCTAGATTTTTGTTGCTATTTTAAAAACACTATCATTGCATGACATTATTTTCTCTGTAAAAACTGTCCATGCAAATGTGCAAGATCAAGTAAACCTCCGTTCAAAATCGATAAGCTAAATTAACAGTTGTGAGAGAAAATATTGTTAATCATGAACAAAATAGAGTCAAGCAATGTTGTTATGCATGGTCAAAATGGAGTCAGTAGGAGGCGGGGATGAGACATATCTGCTGAACTAACTACAACTGAGGAGAAGGCAGATTTGTTACAGCACCGCAGGGTTTCTCAATCACTATTCTAAATCGATAGATTTAATATCTACATCTAGAAATTTTTTAAAAAGAAATTATATTATAGTGATGCTTTTTACAAATGATTTAGGTTTTTATGAAACCTCAAATCCCATAAAAATAACTTAAATATGGATGTTATGAGTCCCTAGCCTTCTTCCAAACCCTTTTTTTTTTGTTTTCCTTAACATAAGAATTTTCACGGGCCATCTTTCACAGCTAGAGACGAAGTGTAACATATCCCCAAAAAATTTGGATGCTATTTCCACTGGATTTTCTATGTGATTGTTACAAAACAATGTAATATATTGCAATTCTATTTGTACCAATTTAAAAACAATTAAGATGCGTATATAAAAAGTCATGAGAAAATATTTTTACATCAAGTATATGCTTAAATAATTCGTCCATTAAAATATTCATATTCTTCACGATAATATAATATACTTGATTTCAAAATATTGATGGATAATCATATATCCAAATCTGCTTGTTTCTCTTTTGATTTGATGTGATTGTCGGCCACCCAAAAGCCAGGGCCTCCATCTCCTAACCCTCTTCGGCCACCCAACAGCAAGGGCCTCCCTCTCCTAACCCTCTTCTTCTCTGACACGGGCTCTCCATCTCCTTATTTATTTGTTCCAGAAAAAAAGAAGAAGGTAGAGTTGATTTGCAAGAAATGATGGGAAGCTACAAGCGGCCACAAAGACCTGGAAAAAAATTGCGATGGAGGTGCATCATCACGTAAACCAGCAAAAAAGATGGAAAAATTGCAACTCTGCTTTTCGAGAGATCGAACAAAATTGAACCAATATGCTAGCAGGGAGATGATTTGTGGCTAGCACAGGTCTGCTGCACTACTTTGATATCATTTCTCTAATCGAATTATACGATAATTTAAATTGTTTAGTTGTTAGTATTAATAGTTAAGCAGGAAGCATACCTTAATATTTATCATGCTGGGAGAGATTGAATGTTTATGTAGCGATATCTGTTAACTAATCTAGACAACTACTTGGGATGATATTTTACCATAACATGTAAGTTTATTACATCAATCAAGTCATGTTTTGCAAGGTATGCATGTATTTCAATGCTGAATACCTTATTATTTGAGATAGAATAAATTGATATATAATATTTTTTTATGTAATATTTATTAAATATATTATTCATATTGCTATAGATGACGAGTACTAATTTTTTTATGTATATATTTGATGTATTATTTAACACGGGAGGCTCAAAAAGTAACAGCTGTGTTGCATAAAAAAAATTGATTAGATAAAATATGATTTGGTAAAATATTATTAATGAATGATAAGATTATTTTTTATGAACAGAGAGATATAGTTAGGAAAGAAAGTTTGTTTATGAGTGATCAAATTCCATTCACAAACATTCCAATATTATCTATGAGCTAGAGAGAATTTGGTGTTGACCTATTCATAAACATTATAAGTATATCCACATATTAAATGAGTTAAGGTGGTGTAGCTTGCTTATGAACACTTGAACACTTTAAGCATGTTCACAAGCAGAGTTTATTTTTAGGTATAATTAGATTATATATTTTAATGTTGTAAAAATTATAAATTTAATTTAAATTTATAAAATATTATGTGAATTTTAATTATATTAAATAATAAATCATGAATTTTGATGAATTGAGAAATGTGTTGATTGATGAATTTTGAATTGTTTTAAGAGTTGAAATTTTAATTGTTGGGCTATTTTTATTTTTTTTTACATGGAGTTGAAATACTTGAAAAACAACCCTACTCGTATTTTTACTAGGCTCACTAAATTATATTATTTTTAAAATATTTTTGTATTGTGTCATTTTTTCTATATGTTTTTTCCTATGCTATTTATTTCATAAAAAAAAACTTATCTTTTTATATATTAAGACAAAAATATATAATAGCTAAAATTGTCAATGTATACACATACAAAATAGGAGGAAAATATTTGTTGACAAGGAAAAAAACTGCAAGTAAAATTCTTTCAAGATAATATTTCATCCTAGCACTTCTAAATGACAACATAAATGCCTTGGTCCTCGTAAATTTTAAGATAAATCTAATGTTTTTTTATTGGATATTGAATTTTATAATTTATTTTGATTTATTATCTATAAAATAATCTTAATCTCATGATCTGGGTTACGAGTTTTACGGATTACTTGACTCTGTTATTTTTTAAATTTTACCCTTCAATATTGAACTGATTAAGAATTAAACTTCGTAATTATTTTTTATTTTATTTTCATGGGATTATCACAGTTTTATGATCCGAGTTGTAAGTTTTGCGTTTTAGCTAGGTTCATTTAAGTTTTTTTCTCCTTTTTTTAATTATTTTTTTAAATTTCATCCTTCAATATTGGATTGATGTAAATTATACTTTATATTTTTTAAATTTTTTTGAAGTTATCTCAATCTTCTAAGCTGTGTTTGATAGGTTAACCTAGATTCTTTTTTTTATTTTATATTTTTTCAATTTAATCCTTTAACATTGGATTGATTAAGAATTAAATTTTATTTATTTTTTTTTCTATACGATTATCATGGTTTTATGACTTATATCACATGTTAGGTTTGTTGACTAGTTTTTCTTCTTTTTTTTTTAGTTGATTTTTTTTTAATTTCACCATTTAATATTAAATTGATTGATAATTAGATTTCATAATTTATTTCGATTTGTATTATATCTTAATCTCATAATCTAGATCATGAGTTTAATCGGTTAATTCCAGTGGTTTTTTTATATCTTTTTTAATTATTTTTTTTAATTTTATTTTTCAACATTGAGTTAATTGAAAATTGAACTTTATAACTTATTTGATTTACTTTTTATAAAGTTACCTTATTTCATAACTTAAAGTTTAGAAAATTAACTTGAGTTAACTCTTAGCTTATTTTTTTAGTTCAATTTTATTCTTTAAAGATGATTGAGAATTAAATTTAATATTTATTTATTTTTGACTGCTTAGTTCAATTTTATTCTTTAAAGGTGATTAAGAATTAAATTTAATATTTATTTATTTTTGATTGCTTTAGTTACCAAAATTTCATGATCTGAGTAATGAATATAACAAGTTGACATGATTTAATCCAAGATCAATCTAACATGTAATTTCAATATTTTTTAAAAAATCATCTTAATCTTTTTAATCAAACTACACTTTTATCAGTTATTTAAGATGTGTTTTGAACTATCAAGATGTTTTTTAAACTATCAAGTTAACCATATCATATTAAATCAATTCTCAATGTAATTCTAACATTAACATCTCAATATTTTTTTTACATTAAAAAACTAATTCAATCCAACCCCATGTAGCTGGGTCAATGATCTACTAACAAACTGTTTAAAGTTCATCTCTAATAATGTTTAGTGAAATAAGAGTTTTTATCGGACAAATTATAAAATAACAAACATCAAAAATCATTTTGAACCAAATTTTGTTAAAAAAAGATAGAAATTACCATATTACTTATTTTGATTGAAAACTAATCCTAACATTAAAATGATTTCCCTGGCTGGTCATGAGGTCTAGCATGAATCCAAATGAATCAAACAACAGCTAAAGTTCATGCTCT